TTTTTATTATTGAGACGGAGTCTCACTCTGTCGCCCAGGCTTGGAGTGCAATGGCACAATTTCGGCTCACTGCAACCTCCACCTCCTGGGTTCAAGCGATTTTCCTGCCTCAGCATTCCAAGTAGCTGGGACTACAGGTGCGTGCCACCATGCCCAGCTACTTTTTTGTATTTTTAGTAGAGACAGGGTTTCACCGTGTTAGCCAGGATGGTCTTGATCTCCTGACCTCGTGATCCATCTGCCTCGAACTCCCAAAGTGCTGGGATTACAGGCATGAGCCACCACGCCCGGCCCTGACTAATTAAAAAAAAATTTTTTTTTTTTTTTTTTGTAGAGACAGGGTCCTACTGTGTTGCCCAGGTTGGTTTCGAATTCCTAGGCTCAAGTGATCCACCAGCCTCAGCCTCCCAAATTGCTGGGATTACAGGTATGAGTTATGGTGCCCGGCCCTTAATCTTAATTTTTAAATATTATTGTCATCTTCGTTTGTTGTTGCCAGTATGGGGCCATATGTATACATACTATTCGACAGCTAGATTTTTTTCACTTAGCAGTATGTTTAGACACACTTCCCTGTTAGTACGTGCAGATATGGCTCATTCTTTCCAGCTGGTACATTATATTCTACACTGTTATTCTCCTGCCCTCGCAGATCCTTTATTCACCTTCGTTTCTTCTGTGTACTGGCAGCTGGTCTCTGTTAACCTGCATCATCTGGGCTTCCTCGCCTCTGGCTTCCAGCTGGGATCAGCTGATAAAAGGCACTGCCAGGAGACCTGAGGGCCAATGTTGGGAGGAGTCAGACTATGTTTTATCCCCATTGTCCCTTGCCATGGTTCTAGTAGCAGCTGTGCTCGTTGTCTGTGATCACTGCTCTTTAGGGTGGCTTCTGTTCTCCAGCCAGCTCTTGCTGGGCTCCAGTGACACCCTTCTCTTCTTTTGCCCTTTTGGGTTGAAGGGTAGAAATAGCTTCCTGCTGTTGCTAGTCCCTGGATGCTTCACCATCCCTTGTTGATTCCTTTAAATGCTGCTCACACAGCTATAAAAAATCCTGCCATTAAATTTCCTTCAGTTTATTCCTTTGCATATGCCATCTCTTTCCTGCTAATACCTCAATTGATGTGACCAGGGAGACTTACCATAATTTAATTATTGGGTCCCTATTACTGGGCATTTAAACTGTTTCTAGTATCTTGCTGTTATACTCAGAGTTGCTAATGAACATTCATGTATATGTCCTTTTTAGTATTTGTTGGAGTATTGTTTGAGAAAAAAGTCATAGGAATAGAAAGACTAGGTTAAGGTACATGAATATTATAAATTTCAATAGATACTTCTAAATTGTTCCCAAAGGAGTCTACCAATTTACATTTCTACAATGTGTTTTTTTAATAGTAAAAAATTAATGGAGGCAGTACTTGTGACTTTATAAAAAATACTTTTTTTTTTTTTTTTTAAGAGACAGTATCTCTCTTTGTTGCCCAGGCTGACGTGCAGTAGCATGATCGTAGCTCAGTGCAGCCTCGAACTCCTGGGCTCAAGCAATCTTCCCGCCTCAGCCTCCCAAGTAGCTGGGACTACAGGTCCATGCCACCATGTCCAGCTAATCTTAAAATTTTTTGTAGAGATCAGGGCGGCGGGGGGGGGGGTCTCATCTCATCATCTTGCCTAGGCTGGTTTCGAACTCCTAGGCTCACGCAGTCCTCCTGCTTCGGCCTCTTAGAGTGTTGGGATTATAGGTTTCAGCTGCCATGCTAGGCCTTATGACAAATAAATTTAATTCAGAAGTGTACAAAGGGAAAAGTAAAAGTCCTCCAAGTCTCACCTGCTTCTCATCATCCCATCCTATTCCCTACAGGTAAGCATGCTAACACCTGTATAGCCTGTCAGGCCTGTCTTCCATTTTTTTTTTTTTTTTTGGAGACAGAGTCTCGCTCTGTTACCCAGGCTGGAGTGCAGTGGTGTGATCTCTGCTCACTGCAAGCTCTTACTCCTGGGTTCAAGCCATTCTCCTGCCTCAGCCTTCCGAGTACCTGGGATTACAGGCGCCCGCCACCACGCCCAGCTAATTTTTTGTATTTTTGGTAGAGATGGGGTTTCACCATGTTAGCCAGGATGGTCAGGATGGTCTCGATCGCCTGACCTCGTGATCTGCCCGCCTCGGCCTCCCAAAGTGCTGGGATTACAGGCGTGAGCCACCACGCCCAGCCCCTTTCTTCCATTTTTATATGTACATGCTTAGCATAAATTGAGTACATTTATGTGTATAAAATAAACTCATTCGTATATGTGTGTTTATGTATCTCTTTCTGTTTGAGATAATGTATTTCTAGACTCTGTTCTTTTCCATTGACCTAACTTGTTTTTTCCTCTGCCAGTACCTATCTACCTTAGTAATTATAGCCTTGAGTTGGTTCGATATCTGGCGAGGCAGATTCTCATCCCATTATTTTTCATTTTAAGAAATTTCTTGGCCCTTCTTGGGCATGAACTCTTCAGATTATCTTTAGATCCAAGTTCAGAAAATTCATGGATTTTGACTGGAATGAAACTGAATTTATAGAAAATTCACATTTCAGGAAAACTGATATATTTCCAATGGAATCTTCTCACTTAAGAAACTCTCCGGGCGTGGTGGCTCATGCCTGTAATCCCAGCACTTTGGGAGGCCGAGGTGGGTGGATCACGAGGTCAGGAGTTTGACACCATCCTGGCCAACATGGTGAAACCCCATCTCTACTAAAAATACAAAAAATACAGCTGGGTGTGGTGGCACGTGTCTGTAATCTCAGCTACTCAAGAGGCTGAGGCGGAGAATCGCTTGAACCTGGGGAAGCGGAGTTTGCGGTGAGCCGAGATGGCGCCATTGCACTCCAGCCTGGGCAACAGAGGGAAACTCTGTTGCAGGGCAGGGAAAAAAGAACCTCTTTTGTCTCTTTATTTACTCAGATATTTTATGTTCTTTGGTGAAAGTCTTGCCTATTTCTTACTAAGTTTATTTTTAGTTATTTTATAGATTTTGTTGCCATCATGAATGGAATTTTTTCACTTTACGTTTTCTTTTCTTCTCTTTTTTTTTTTTTTTTGAGACAGGGTCTTGCTCTGTCACCCAGGCTGGGGTGCAGTGGCACGCTCACAACTCACTGCAGCCTCAGCCTCCTGAACTTAAGGAATCCTTCTGCCTCAGCCTCCTGAGTAGCTAGGACCACAGGTGCACACTACTAGGCCTGGCTAATTTTTTAATTTTTCTTTTTGTAGAGATAGGGTCTCATCATGTTGCCTAGGCTGGCCTCAAACTCCAGGGCTCAAGCAGTTCTCCTGCCTCAGCCTACCAAAGTTCTGGGATTATAGGCGTGAGCCACTGCACCCAGCCCACCTTACATTTTCTAATTGGTTATTGCTGGTATGGTTTTTAAGAATGTGTTGATTTTTGTAAATTAGTCTTATCATAATCACCTACTTTATTGAACTTCCCATTCTAATAATTTTTTAGTATATTCTCTTGGCTTTCCTAGGTGGACAATTATCTGTAAATTATAATGTTTTGTGACACCATTATTAATATTTATACGTCATTTTTTTCTCTTATGTCATTTCGTCGCTGGGATATCTGATTGGGCTTGGTTGGGGGCCTGACCCAGGGCAGTCTCCTTGGCCAGTGTTACATTTTACATTTAAGGTGTACCTGCTATACATCCTTTTACATCAAAGGGTGTATAGCGGGGTACAGTAGCAGGGTGGGTGAATTCCAGACAGACCTTGAGGATAGAAACAACAAGGCAATGTTCAATGAATAGAAAGTACAATGACTAGAGCATAGGGCACAAATGAGGTTGAGAGAAGCAAGAGATGGATTGGAGAGTAGGTTGAGGCTCCGTCAGAAGCCGCTAGGCTTTAAGGAGCAATTACTTTATTCAGAGGAGTTGAGAATTGAATGAAAGCTGTAAGCTGTATTAGGCAGAATGACCCTTTAAAGATATCCACACCCTAATCCCTGGAACCTATGAATTTGTTACTTGACGTGGCACAAGAGAATTCACAGATATAATTAAGGTTATGAGCCTTCAAATAGTGAGATTATCCTGGATTATTAAGGTGGGCCCACTATAATCACATGGGCCCCAAAAAGCAAAGAAGTTTCTCCAGCTGGAAGAGAAGCAAGATATGGTGGAGGGGGAATTTGGAGAGATTCAAAGAGTGAGAGAGCCTGAAGGGGACCACATGGAAAGCATGAAAAGGACTGTAGGCATGAAGGCTGACCCCGGCGGATAACCAGCCAGGAAACGGGGGCTTGGCCCTACAGCTGCACGAACTGAATTCAGCCAACAGCCTGAGTGAACATAGAAGTGGATTCTTCTCCAGGGCCTCCAGAAAGGAACACAGCCCTACCAACACCTTGGTTTTGGCCTTGTGAGACTCTAAGCAAGGACCCAGCTGGGCCTCACCATACCCAGATTTTGGCCTTCAGAACTCTGAGATGATTTTGTGTTGTTCTAAACTGCTAAGTTTATGACACTTTGCCACAGCAGCAGTAGAGAACGAATGCAAAGGGGTTTAAGCAGGGATATTGTCAGATTTTGTGTTATTCAAAGACTTCTTGTGCCATGTGGAAATGGATTTGGAGAATGTAAATTTGGAGGCAGGGAAACGTGTCTGTGGGAATGCTGTGATAGCACAGTCTAGGGTAGTGATTATGGGAAGGGGATATGATTTGAAATATATCTGGGAGGCAAGAGTTGCCAGAACTAGTCAGGGACCGGATGTCAGTGGTTGGGGTGGGGAAGCAAGGATGACTGCTGCTTTCTAGCTTAGGCGCTGGCTGATGATGAAGCTGTTTCTTGAGATAGGGATGAGCAGGTTGGAAGATGCCATGATATGAAAGTGATAACTCTTAAGTTGTTCTTCATTTGGAAATTCTCTCTATAGATACTTTATTTTAAGAGAGTATGTCAATAAGATGAGTGCTTTGTCTTTTAAGAATGAAACTTTTTCTTTTCTAGGTCATTTAAGAAATCGTAAATCATGTGAAGATGGGACTCTTGGTATTTGTGCGCAATTTGCTGCTAGCCCTCTGCCTCTTTCTGGTACTGGGATTTTTGTATTATTCTGCGTGGAAGCTACACTTACTCCAGTGGGAGGAGGACTCCAGTAAGTATAGTCACTCTAGCTCATCCCAGGAGAAGCCTGTTTCAGGTCAGTTACTGGTTTTTCTTGTGGCTGCAGTGCTCTCTTATTCTTCAGAGGTGGGCAATGAGAGTAAACTGAACATTTCTGGGACTTTGACTTAGACATTGCTGCCATTTTAGCTGGTATAGGCTGAGAACTTTGATGTTTTTTAAAAACTGCATGCCATGACACATCTCGTTCCTTTTACAAACTTGGTGAGAATGTGCTATTCTTCAATAAAAACCCAAACTGTACTCATACTTCTAGTTCTTGAATGCTTTTGTTCTTTCTAATTGCTGTAGCATATTGCCACTCTTATTTTTCCATTTATTGCCTTAGGGATTAGTATTGGAGTTGGTTTCCATATGCCCTTAAAACATTCATCTTTATGTTGAATTTTCAACATAATGTTGTCTCTGTTTTGTTTTCCCTAAAGAAACTTTGTCTACTAAATCTTTGTAGCCCTTGCTGCTATTGAACTTGCACCTGGCTACAATAATGGCTTATTTTCCCTACCCAGTAACTCTTAATTTTTTTCTTCTCTTTGTGCACTTTGTCTCATGTGTTACATAGTGCTTTCCACATAGCCTGAATCCCACTGATTTGGTTTCTGTTTACCTGACGTGGCCTGTGTTTTGGTTCTAGGCTTGCAGTTGAAGGGCTTACGTTGATCGGCACCCAGCCTTTGAACATTGTTTTCTTGGCTGTAGCTTGAAATATCACACAGTGACCATAGTGGTTTTCTTTTTGGTTATTTTGTCTGACTGTTACCTGAGCCTCGTGTGGGAGATAATATAAAATCAGAACAGAGTGGCCTGTTTTGATCTACAGTGATATGTCTTCTCTTAAAATTAGTTTTATTTTTACTGACATCTACCAGATACCAGTATAGAACTCACTTGAGAAGAGAGTCAGTCTCTAGGTATGAGGTGAAAGTGAGCTGCAGTGAGTTGGAAGAAGCAACAGGCAATTGGCCTGCTGTTGTTCTAAGACCCTAACATGGGAACTGTTACAGTGAAGTAGCTCATTTATTTCTCCCATGGCTCAAACTACTGAGGCAGTTTCAAGCCAGTTTTTAAAATATAGTGTTATATCCTTCATTTATTGTTTTATATAGGATGTTTAAGTACATTTTAAATGCTTAGCTTATAATTATCACTAATTACTTGTGTTTCAAAAGTTTACTTAAATTTCTCTGCACTGACTTATTTTTAAAACCAAGGAGACTACCCAGGATAAGGAGTGTTTATATCAGTGAAATGCAGAATTCTGTATTTAGAGGCATTAATTGTCTGTATTAGTAGTGGTGGATCCATCTGTATCAATATTGTAGATGGAAATGTGTGTGAAGAACAACGGTCTCCTTTTCTGCTAAGAGCTACTGACCTGTAGAAGACATAACCAAGGATCAGATAAGATTTTCTTAGAGTAGTAGGGAACGGAATTTACTTTATGGAAGACTCATTGTGTGTCAGGCATTAGGCTAGACAATTTACAAATATAATTTCATGTAATATAATTCTTACTACAGTTTTGTGAAGATGCCATTATTACCCCATTTTCCAGTTGAGCATACTGAAACACTTTAATTTACCAAGGTTATATTGTTGGAACTGGAATTCAATTCTGATTTCCTGTCTTTAAAACCTATGTTTATTATTTTATTGAAAAATATAATAAATACTGAAGGCAAGACTTAATATTCTACTTGGTAAAAAGAGAGAGGGAAAGGGGCTCAGAGAAGTAATAGTAGAGAGTATCAGGAAGGGAGTGTGAAAAGAAAAGGAGGGAAAGATAGAAAGTTAACAAAAGAAGACAGAGAGGCTTATTAGGTTTGAAGGTGACAAGGTGCTACTCACTTGGGCTGTAGGATTCAGAAGTTTATTGCTAGTTATCTGCTGTCCTTTCCATTAGTTGTTAGCTGACTAACCAGTATTTATAGCTTTTCTATTCTGACTCCTAAGCCTTTTAGATGTTTGACTTTGAATAGGTTGTTTAGACCATAGCATACTGTTTTCTGTGCTGTAATATCAGAGAACAGAGTAATAGGACCCACCTTGCATGGCTTACTAAGTCAGACAGGTCCTCCATTTTTTTTTTTTTTTTGGAGCTGAGGTCTCACTCTGTTGCCCAGGCCAGAGTGCAGTGATGCAGTCATAGTTCACTGTAATCTCGACCTGCCAGGCTTAAGTGATCCTCCTACCTCAACCGCCCTAAGTAGCTGGGACCACAGACTCACACCACCATTCCTGGCTAATTTTTGTATCTTTTGTAGAGATGGTGTTTAGTCATGTTGCCCAGGTTGGTCTCAAACTCCTGGGCTCAAGTGGTCTGCCCGCCTTGGCTTCCCAAAGTGGTTGGATTCCAGGCATGAGCCACTGTGCCCGGCCAGAGAGGAGTCCTTTACTTAGAGTCAAGCTGGAGGAGCGTCACAATCCCGAAGACTGTTATGTTGTGAAATTTAGGCTGTGTTTTAATAATATGATGATAAGATGAAATAGTAATTTATTGAGTATCTACTGTATATCCATAACGTAGCAGGGTCTTTATATTCAAAATCTCATTTGATCCTTGTAGTTTTTATTGGTTATTATTTTCCTCATTTTACAGATATAAGAACTGCGGCTTCAGAGAGGCTGTGTAATCAAGAGTTTGTATGCCTTTCATCTGAAGAGGTTGAGGACAATCCCAAGTTAGAAAAATAAATGTCTTTAGCATTACTTTTCCTTAATTTTTAGAATAGTAATGAGTTACTCAGATAACCTATTGGAATTTCTTCATGGTGGGGGGAAGAGGCTAGAGTTGGTTTTTGGTTTTTGTTTTTGATACAGGGTCTCACTCTGTCACCTAGGCTAGAGTTTTGTGGTGTGATCTCGGCTCACTGCAGCTTCAACCTCTTGGGCTTATGCCACCCTTCCACCTTAGCCTCCCAAGTAGCTGGGACTACAGGTGTGCACCACCACGCCCAACTAATTTTTCAAAATTTTTTTGTAGAAATGGGGTTTCTCCATGTTGCCCAGGCTGGTCTCAAACTCCTGAGCTCAAGTGGTCTTCTTACCTCAGCCTCCCAAAGTGCTGGGATTACAGGCAGGAGCCACTGCGCTTGGCCTGAGGCTAGAGTTTTTTATTATTAAATTATTCATTCAATAAGCAGTATGTTCTTATTATGGTCCATGTACTGTTCTGGGTAAACTGGATATAAGATGAACATAGGCCTTCATACTCTTAGCCTATAATATGAGAACAAAACAAAACAATTATTATTATATATTGAGCTCTAAAAGAGCAATCTGTGTGAAATGCTGTGTTGGAGCATAGAATTCCTTCCAGATAGAAAATTTATGTTTTCATTAATTCCAAGGTGTGTTGTAGAGGACTACAAACTGCTTTGCCTTGGGTAGTTTAGAGACACATGTGACCTAGGGCTTGGTCAGGTTGCCAAGACTTGGGTCAAATGCTTGATTTGAAAAGCTTCAAGTATGAGAATAGTTATCAACCTGTTTTAAAAATTACTGTAGAATTATTATACATGTAGTATGATAAAATATGTATGTATACATATATTTTTAATATATATTTTAATTAATGAACAAATCACCAGTATCTGGAGTTAGAAAGAGTTGGGTGTGCTTGTTTCTTCGTCTCCAAAATGAAGATAAAAGACTTATTTCTCAGCCGGACACAGTGGCACACACCTGTAATCCCAGCACTTTGGGAGGCCGAGGTGGGCAGATCACGAGGTTGGGAGATCGAGACCATCTTGGCTAACACAGTGAAACCCCATCTCTACTAAAAATACAAAAAATTAGCCAGGCATGGTGGCGTGCACCTGTAGTCCCAGCTACTTGGGAGCCTGAGGCAGGGGAACCGCTTGAACTCGGGAGGCAGAGGTTGCAATGAGCTGAGATCGCACCACTGCACTCCAGCCTGGGCCACAGAGCAAGACTCAGTCTCAAAACAAACAAAAAAAAGACTTATTTTTCTTTGCTCTGATGCCTTGTGTAGGAGTCGGGTAGTTGCCTCTTTACAACAGCCCTCATTTCACAATGGTCCATTTCATGGAAGCCTTGCATATTTTTATTAATTTAAAATTTTACGTATTTCTGCTGGGTGTGGTGGTTCACATCTGGAATTCCAGCACTTTGAGAGACTGAGGAGGGAGGATTGCTTGAGGCCGGGGGATTGCTTGAGGCCAGGAGTTTGAGAACAGCCTGGGTAACATCGCGAGGCCTTGTCTCTATAAAAAAAATTAAAAGATATTATCCAAGCATGGTGGTGCACACATACACAGTGTGTGGGATAGCTACTTGGGAGGCTGAGGTAGGAGGATCACTTAGGCCCAGGATTTTGAGGTTGCAGTGAGCTATGATTGTGCCACTGTACTCCAGCCTGGGCAACAGCATGAGACCCTGTCTCAAGAAAGAAAGAGAGAGAGAGAGAGAGAGAGGAAGGAAGAGGGAGGGAGGGAGAGAGAGAGAGAGAAAGACAAAGGGAGGGAGGGAGGAAAGAAGGAAGGAAGGAAAGAAAGAGGAAGGAAATTAATTTCTGATTAATAAAGTAGATCTTTCATAGGATTAGTTTCCTGGGCTGAGTGAGGTGGCTCATGCCTATAATCTCAGCACTTTTGGAGGCTGAAGTGGAAGGATTGATTGAGCCCAGGAGTTCAAGACCAGCCTAGGCAACATAGGGAGACCCTGTCTCCACAGAAAAATAAAAAAATTAGCTTAGTGTGGTGGTACATGTCTGTAGTCCCAGCGACTCGAGAGGCTGAGGTGGGAGGATTGTTTGAGCCCAGGAGGTCAAGGCTGCAGTGAGCTGTGGTCATGCCACTGTACTCCAGCCTGTGTGACAGAGTGAGACCCTGTCTCAAAAATTTTTTTAAAATTACATTTATGCTACTGTGTTTATCAATTATTTCAACTCTCTTTGTGTTCTTCCCCATATTTATAAAAGATTATAACCAGACAAATTATAATATATGCATTCAAATTATAAAGTACACATTGTTGATCTGATTGCTGTGGAGA